GAAAGAAAAATGAGGTGTGGAAAGTGAGTTGGTCATCTAATCCCTTTCACTGTATCCATGAAATTAAGTTGTCAGAAGGAGACAAGATGTTCCTCAAATGAAAAACCTAAATTTCAAATGTATCCAGGTTTCCGTGGTGCATGCCTAAGGAATTTTTTAGATTTCAACTTTCATAGAGTTATTTTAGGAGACTATTAGGTTAGGAAGAACTTGCAATCAATTTGTAAAATGCTTTAATAGCCTGAGCAGAACTATGAGAAGATATTGATGTGGTCCACATGCACAATTTATAACTCAGAAATTTCACTCCAAGAATATATTCCACATAAATGCATGCATATTAGACCAAGAAGTGGACAAAAATATTCACAGGAGCATTCTCCACAAAACCCCTAATGAGAGAAAAATATCTATCAACAATAGTATGCATGAATGCATTATGGTCCCTTCATACAAAGATCCATGTCAAAGATCAGTGGAAATGAACAAAGAACTACTGTGTGCATTGAAGTCAATAAATCTCAAAAACAGCATTTTAAGCAAAAATAGTCAAACAAAAATTGCTATATAACAATGTTGTATAAAGTTAAAAAACTGGCAAAACTATGATATTATAAATCATACATTAGTAACCTTAGGGAGAAAAGACAATGACTAGGAAAAAGCATGCAGGAAGCTGCTAGAGGTAACACTGAGTTCTATTTCCTGTCATGAGTAACAGGCACACCATTCCCTGTGTCATAATCAGTCAAGCTATACATTAATAACCTATGGACTTCACTAAAGGTACGTTATACTTCAGTTAAAAATGAAGGTGCCTGAGGTGTCATCACATGGCATAGAATTCTTTCATTTGATGTAAATAAATCGTGTGCAGGTTGGAATGTTCCACCTGAGGTTACACCCTGCAGGTACACAAGGTTAGGACAGAAATAGACGGATACTTTCTAAATCCCAGCATTCTGCCTCTGCCTTTAACCCCCTGCTTTGGTGCTGATTTGCCTATAAAAAAATTATCCCAACCACCCTCTATCCACGTGTTCTTGGTAAAACTGGAATTAACATGTGCAATGGTTGCTGCCCATAGACATGCCTGTTGCAGTCTTGAATAGTCAGACTTTTCTTGGTGAATGTAGACCTTCATAAATAATCTTAGAATCCTCAATATTCTAATTTCTATCATTTCAAAATATTCTTCATGTGTCTGGGAATATTTTTATATGTATTCATTTTAGTAGAACTAAGTATATTGTCCCATTTGTTTTTCATTATCCCCTCACAATCTGCACCGAGCCCAGCCTCTTCCATTTTCTACTAGCAAAATCTATTAAGAAATGTGTACATCAGATTAATAGTGTTCAATCATTTGAACTCCCATGCTGCTTCTTCCTTAAACAGAAACAGAACAAAACAATCTTCTGGGGGTATGATTTGTCTGTCTCTGCAGGACTGCCTATGAAAATCCTAGTTCTTGTTACAGCTCAACTGTTGGAAGTGTCTACAGAGAACTTCTAGAGTATGCATGAGAAGGCCACATGTTTACTACTCCTCTGCCCTGTCAAGTGTACTGAGGAACACAATGTATGCTCAAGAAGAGGACCCTGGTCATTTATGTATTGCTTTTCCTTTCCCATAGCAGTACCATCCTTTGTTGAGTTGAGCTCCCTATGGTTGTTCATTTTCTTTCTCAGAAGTCTGATGTTTCTTTTTTCAGCAACACTCTCATACCTGCCATGGCTCCTAGGGTGCATACTCCTTCCTCTGTTTCTTCGTCTCCACCTTCTTGCACACCTACCCCAGAAACTCGGAATCCTATTTCCCTCAGGTGATTGGTCTTTACCTGCCAAAGCTCAGGAAGTTGCTAGGATTTCTTTTTTTTTTTTAATATATTTTTTTATTTTGAAATTGTGGAGTACAGATAAGGATTAGGTATACAAATATTCACTGTGCAGCTATCCTTGTTGATGAGGTGTGTCTCCCTTTCCCCAGACAGATATTGACTACCATTAATCCCACCTCCCTTCCCCTCCCTACCCCCGCATAGTTTCCTGCCACTGTAAATCCTTTTCTTATAGTATTACAATAGATGTTCAAGGTCCACTTATGAGTGAGAACACGTGATACTCAGATCTGTGTTTCTGTGAGAGATCACTCAGTATTATAAACTCTAATTCCATTCAGGTTGCTGTGAAATTCATGATTTTGTTCTTTTTTATGGCTGTGTAATATTCCATTGTGTGTATGTACCACATTTTTAAAATCCAGTCCTCTTTTGATGAACAGCATGGCTGTTTCCATGGTCTTGCTATTGTGAACATTGCTGCCATAAACATACATGTGCAGGTATCTTTCTGATAGAGTGATTTGAGTTCCTCAGGGCATATTCCCAGTAGGAGGATTGTAGGGTCATATGGAAGGTTAATTTTTAGACCTTTTAGGAATCACCACACTGATTTCCACAGAGGCTGTACTAGTTTACACTTCCAACAACAGTGTAGAAGTATTCCCTTTTTGCCATATCCTCTCTGTATCTGCTGTTTTTTGAGTTATTGATGATGGCCATCCTGACTGGAGTTAGGTGGTATCTCAGTGTGGTTTTAATTAGCATCTCCTTGATGACTAGTGAGGTTGAACATTTTTTCATGTATCTGTTGGCCACTCGTATGTTTTCTTTTGAGAAGTGTCTGTTCATATCTTTTGCCATTTTGTACCAGCAACATTCTTCTCAGATCTAGAAAAAACAATACAGGAATTCATATGGAAACACAAATGACCAAGAATAGCCAGAACAATCCTCAGCAACAAAAACAAAAACAAAAAACAAAGCAGGAAGTATCACACTACCAGACTTTAAACTTTACTATAAAGCTAAAATAATCAAAACAGCCTGGTATGGGTACAATAACAGGCATACAGACCAATGGAATAGAATTGAGATTCCAGAAGCAAAACCTCAATTTCTCAACCAACTCATCTTTGGCAAAGCCTCCACCACCCACCACTGGGGAGAGGAGAACCTATTCAGTAAATGGTGCTGGGAAATCTCGTTGACCACATGCAGAAGATTCAAACAGGACCCCTATCTACCCCCATACACACAAAAAAAACTCTAAATGGATCAGAGACCTAAATGTAAAACTTCAAACCATAAGAACTTTAGAAAATGCAGGACACACCCTTATGGAAGTTGGAACTGGCATCCAATTCCTGAGCAAAACCCGAAATGCACAGGCCATAAGAGATAAGATAGACAAGTGGGACCTCATTAAACTGACAAGCTTCTGCAAAGCCAAAAAAACCATCAAGAGAGCAGGGAGACAACCCACAGACTGGGAAAAAGTATTTGCCAACTCCATGTCTGACAAAGACCTAACATCAAGGATCTACAAGGAACTCAAACGTGCTGAAAAGAAAAAAGCTGCTTTGATTTCTTAGGCTAAACGAGTAACTTATAACTGTTCTTGCCACAGGGGGCAAATGGGTAACTATGTGAGATGATGGCTGTGGTCATTTGTTTCACAGTAGTAACCATTTTACTACATATATGCATCTTATAACAGCATGTTGTATTCCTTAAATATACACAATAAAACTTATTTTTAAAATAAAAGACTGATATGCCCTCTGCATTGCCACCTTGAGTTCCATAATTTGTCAATACTTAATTTCCTTAATAATGTTCTGACCTGGAAACAAATTATCTTCTTAATGTTTGGGGACAAATGAAATATAGCCTGTGTTTCACAGGCATGATTAATCCCACTTTGCTATTTGTATAGGTGTCCAGAAGAATGAGGATATGTGGAATTCCAATGCCATGACATCAATAAACAAGTATTTCTAGATGAGCAACTCACACCAAACTCCTAGGGAAGTTGCAGGAACACAATGGATGCTCAAAAATCTTTAAAGGAGTTCACCAGTGGCTGACTAGAGACTGAGACAAGAAAAGGTCCACATCGAAGCTCAAAGTTTCACTTACCAGGGCTGTTAAAACCAGCTGTTGCTCATAAGAAACTTTTAAGATGCTCTTAAGATTGGTCACCCACATATGCACCTAACCCAGAATTGTACACCACACCTTTAAAATAATTTTTAAAAAGATTTGTCAGCAAGGTGTGGGGAATTGATTTGGGAAGAGCTTTGTTAATGGACTATGATCTGTAAATGTAAGGAATTGGTGTTTCCAGTGACACAGAACAATTCAGAGTTCTCCTCTTCCCAGTGCTCAGTCCTAAGTGTTGTTTCTTCTATATTGTGATCTGTAAATGTGACTGCACCAGAATAAAAATTAGGAAACCTGGGTCTGACCTGGTCCTGCCCATCCTTAGCTCCATGATGTTATACACATCATTTTGCTTATCTTGGTTCTGCCCAAGTTTAGGGCTATTGTGTGACTCAGATGAGAAAACATAAGTGATATGCAAAACAACCACAGAAATCAAACAAAACAAAGCATGATACAGGAGGCAATATAGTGAAGACTTTATTAGGAAGCAAATAGGCAATACTCTTTCCAGCCAAAGTAAGTCACAAGAATGATGAGTAGCTTGAAACAAAATGGTTGATATTTTTCATTGTGAAGATCTAATATGACAGTTATGAGTATTTTTGTTCTCTTTTCACAAAATTTCTTACCAGTTGAGGGCCCAAAATTCACCTGCACATAGACTGCTTATGTGCTTAATCCTGATTTGTACCCCATATCTTTACCAAAAACAACAACAACAACAACAAAAAACCATATAAAAAAGCAATGGTCACTTTGTCAAGACCAAGATCATGAGTCCAAGAACACTGTAGTGAAAACCACTGTATTCACGACCAGGCTCACAAATCTGTTGACAAGAAGATGACCGATGGTTTGGTGACAGCATGTGTGTTATCAGCAAAGAGAAGGGAGATAGTTTGCCATAGAAATGGGTATCTGGGTGTCTGATGATGGGAGGTTATTCTGTGCAGGCAGTGGGTCTGTGGTAAGTTGATCAGTAGCAGGAAGGTTAGCAGCAGCTGGACGTGCAGCAAGCAGGGCGGCAGCAGGGCTGGCAGCAGCTGGATCCGCAGCACTGGCCTAGGCAGTCAGGCAGACAGACACACGTAGGATGGTAGCAGGTTCTCCTGCAGTACACAGGGGCACAGCAGCTGGACTGGCAGCAGTTAGACCCACTGCAGGTTTGGCCACAACAGCTGGACTCAGCAGGTGGTCCTGCAGCAAGTTATTGGACAGCAAGTTGGACGGCAGCAAGGCTGGCAGCACCTGGACCTACAGCAAGTGGGCTGGCAGCAGGTGGTCACACAGGTTGGTCGGCAGCAGGAGGTCTGACAGCAGACTGGGCGGCAGCAAGGCTGGCAGCAGCTGGATCCACAGCTGTGGCCTAGACAACCAGGCAGGCAGACACATGTGGGGTGGTAGCAGGTTCTCCTGCAGTACACAGGGGTACAGCAGCTGGGCTGGCAGCAGTTAGACCCGCTGCAGGTTTGACCACAACAGCTGGACTCACAGCAGGTGGGCTGGCAGCAGGTGGTCCTGCAGCAGGTGGTTGGACAGCAAGTTGGGCGGCAGCAGGGCTGGCAGCAGCTGGACACACAGCAGGTGGGCTGGCAGCAGGGTGTGCTGCAGCAGGTGGTCACACAGGTGGGCTTCCAGCAGGCGGTCCTGCAACAGGTGGTTGGACAGCAAGTTGGGCGGCAGCAGGGCTGGCAGCAGCTGGACCCACAGTAGGTGGGCTGGATGCAGGTGGTCCTGCAGCAGGTGGTCCTGCAACAAGTGGGCTGGCAGCAAGGGGAGCAGCAGTGGGTCATGGTGTCAGGAGGGAGGGTGGACTTCTGTTCAGAGGTGAGTTTCCCAGATTCTGATGCCTCCTTCCAATCTGGCACTTTTATACATGGTACCCCCAAAATTTGGACCAATGAGCAGAACTTATTTTTGATATTGTTTTTGCTAATTTTTCTTGTCTACTGGGGAATGCCCCAAGGAGGAAGTTGTTCTTAAGAGTTGTGAATTTTCTTTGGATAATTGATGTTTGCTTTCCTGATTGACAGATAACCAAATCAGACCTATTTTCCTGAAATGAAAAATGAGTCATCATAGTCCACATCAGTTAAGCCCTAATCCTCATTTTTGAAGCTAAATATACAGTATTTGGTCATCTAACAAGTCCTGCATATCTTGGTGACAGGTCAGGACCATTGTCAGGGTCCATCTGTTTCCCCTTGGTGCTACTTCGGAAAGCACCTCTGAAGATAGCATGAGTTGTTGAGTCACGGTGATGAGTTAAAACCAAGTGTAGGGAGGCTTCTGGTATCTCCTGCAATGTAGAAGCTAGTGTAAGATTTGTCTTTCTGCTGTAAACAATGATGAAATCTAGCCGGGCTCGGTGGCTCAGCCTGTAATCTGCGCTTTGGGAGGCTGAGATGAGTGAATTGCCTAAGCCCGCGGGTTCGAGACCCGCCTGAGCAACTTGGCAGGACCTCATCTCTACAATAAATCAAAAATTAGCTGGGCGTGGTAGCGAGCGCCTGTAGTTCCAGCTACTTGGAAGGCCGAGGCGGAAGGATCGCCGGAGCCCAGCTGGTCGAGGCTGCAGTGGTTGGGAGCGGCCACTGCACTCTAGTCTGGGTGACAGAGTGAGACTCCAACTCAAAACAAAACAAAACAAAACAAAAAGATAATGAAATCTGAGTAAATATATAAAACAACGGTTTGTAGATATTGGATAGCAATCAAATTTGGGCTACGGCCCTTGAAGGGAAGAAACAAGAGAGGTGAGGCCCAATTCATCTCAGGTTTCTCACTTTGTATATTTAGCAAATTGACAGAAGGAATTGAGTCCATGTGCAGAGCAGAGAGAGACGGGTATCGAATGGGTGATTACAGTTCATTCTGTCAGTCTGAAATGTAATTTTTGATGTTTAAATTTTCTGAGTTTGATCTAGTTAAAATTATCAACCATAACTTTTAAACTAGCACTATTTTTGTCTTGTTTGGGTGAAATCTGTCTACTTCAACATCCAGAGTGTATTAACACAAATTTTCTAGTAAGGATTTTAAGTTTTTTTCCCTAATCTTCAAATTATTGATACACTGGAATTGATTTTTTGGGAGAGGGTTACATGATGAATGACTGGAACCCAAGTTTATCTTTTTGATGTAGATTATTTTTCCAGCCTTGATTATGGAACAATCTCTGCTTTAACGATGGATGTGTCCCCATTTTTATCCAGAATATTATTTATTTTTGTCTTCTCTTTATGTCTTGATTGATCTTGCCAGTGGTGTAGCAATTTTTAGTTTTGTTTTTTTTTAAGACACACATTTTGACTTTTTTGGCCTTCTCTATTGTAACTTTGTTAGCTATTTTATTAATTTAGACATTATGCTTTTTTGACTAGTTCTATTTTCCTTTTTCTTATTAACTAAGTTGAACATTTCACTTATTTTGAGGTTTTCTTCTTGTTTAGTATTAGTATTTAAGACTATAAATTTTGTTAAAGCACGGTGTATTGTAGCACTCCATTCGTTTGATGTGCAATATTTTTATTATAATCTAGTTACACATTATTTATTTTACATTATTAATTCTTCAGTTTTGATCTAAGTCAGTATGTCTTCTGCAATCTATCTTATCTACTGTGTAATTTAATGTCTGTATGTTCTATTATTTGTTTTGGGTCTAATATTACTCTTGGTTCTGTTTCTACTTCCTCCCCCCATTATATATTTTTATTTTATTAGCTTTTCATTTTGAAATAATTTCAGACTTATAAAAAGTTGCAAACATAGTACAATAAATTCCTATACTTTCCACTTGGATTCCTCAAATGTTAACATTTTACCATGTTTTCTTTAGCATTATTTTTCTGCATATATGTATGACTATTGCTGACTTTTCCTCAACTATTTAAGGATGAGTTGCAGGTACAATTTCTCTTTATTACCAAATAGCACTTTATCTCTAAATACTTCAGTATGTATTTATTTAATCACAAGCCTAATGATCAAACTAGAATATTAACACAGATGCAGGATATTATCTCTGCTTGTTTCTTATTCTTGTTTTCTTGTATCTGTTTATATTGTGAATAGCTTTCCAGGTATCATTACATGTTTTTATTCTGCTTAGTTAAAATTCAGTTGAAGACTTCCTGGCTTGGAAGATAGAGTGGACATACTTTTTTGTATTCTTCCTGCTAAGTCCAACTAAAAATTCTGGATGTTATATATAAAGCAAACACAAGTGGACTCTGAACATTGGAGAAAAGTCATGTAGGCTAGGAACCGCAGGATCTGTGAAATGATTAGGGTGGAGTTAATTCCTTGGGTTTTTTTCTACTGCATGAACTCTGGACTTGGAGCCCAAGAAGCCTGCAACTCTGAAACTCCATTGGATGCACACACACACACAAATTCCAATAATACCCTTCTCTCTCTGCCTAAAGGATAAGAAAAGAGGTGATTTAGCAGGAAGAAAAATGTTTTGTGATAACTACTCTGCTCTAGGAAGCTGTGACTTCACTACCAGCCACACCAGTAAAAGCAAAGTAGAGAGTCTATACTTCCACCCCCGAGAAGCTATTATGAGTTACCCTAACATCCCCACTGGGGTGGTGTCAGAGAAGGCCAAGTAAGACCCTGAAACTTCCATCTCCAGCCAGTAAATGACACTGCCTCTCCCCCAAACATAGAGTGTCAGTGGAGACTACATGGGAGCCAAAACACCCATGTCTGCTTGGCATTAGTGAGGAGCTTCCCCACCTTAAGTGTCAACACAGACTGAATACAAGAAAATGAGGTCATCCTACCCCCTAAATCTATGCTGGAACAATGTCAGTGAAAGCCAGCCAAAACAGAATGTGTATATAAGATCCAGAGTCTCGTTTTCATAATGCAATACAGATACGTCCAGGTACTAATAAAAATTACCCAATATACAAGAACCAGGAAAATCTATAACTGGATGAAAAAAAAAGGCAAACAATAAATCCAATGCTGAGAGGCCAGAGATGTTAGAATTATCTGACAAAGATTTTAAAGTAGTCATGATAGAAATATTTCAATGAGCAATTACAAATCCACTTTAAACAGATGAAAAAATAGGAAGTCTCAGCAAATAAATAGAAGCCATAGTGGCTAATCTACTTTCTAAATAAACTTTATTTTCAATCTAAAAAAAAAAGAAGCCATAGTGAAGAACTAAAATATATTTTGATGAAAATGTGATAACCAAAATAAAAAGTTCAATGGGTATCTCAGTTGCAGAATGAAGGAGATGCCAAAGAGAGTATTAGTGAACTAGAAGATAGAACAACAGAAATTACCAAACCTGAACAAGAGAGAAAATAAACTGAAAAAATTAACAGAGCTTAAGGGACCTGTGGGACTAAAACCAAAGATCTAAAATTCCTATCATCAGAATTCTAGAAAGAGAGGAGAAAAAAAAGGCAGAGATTGATTTAAAAAAAAAAGGACTAAAAATTATAGCTTAAAAAGTACTCGAAAAATTATAGCTTAAGATTTGGCAAAATACATAACCTACAAATTCAAGAAGGCGAGCAAATCCCAAACAGATATACTCAAAGAAATCTGAGCCACAAGACACACAGTAGCCAACATTTTTGAAAATAAAAGATAAAGAAGAAATTGCAAATGCCTTCAGAGAAAACAATACCTTACCTACAGGGGGAAACAGCTGAAATTACAGTGTATTTCTCATTTTAAACCATGGAAGCAAGAAGAAAGTGGCACAATATTTTTTTCAGTACTGTAAGAAAAGAACTATCAAGGCAGAATCTTTTATCTGGTGAAATCACACTTCAGGAATGAAGTTTTCTTAGGTGAAAGAAAATGAAGATAATTTGTTGCCAGCAGATTGACTCTGAAAGAGAGCTAAAGGAAGTTTTTAAAAGAGAATACCAATGATAAAACAAGGAATCTTGGAACATTAAAAAGGTGGTAAAATCACAACAAGCAAAAATATGGGTAAATATAGCAAAATTTCCTTCTCTTATGTTTTCTAAATTAGTGCTTTGACAGTTGAAATGAAAATTGTGACAATGAGTAGTTCTAAATTGTTGTAGAAGAAATTTAGAGCATTTATAAATGGACTAAGGCAAAGGGACATAAATAAAGGTAGGATTTCTATAATTCCATAGATCTTGTAAAAAGATCACACCAGTAGTGTGATAAGTTGTGTATCTATAATGTAACATCTACAGCAGCCAATAAAAAAACCAAAAAAGACATATACTAAAAAAATTATAGATAAATCAAAATAGCATTTTTTAAATGCTCAAGAAGCACACAGAAGGCAATAAAAAGAGAGACACAAAAAATAGAGCAAATGTAAAATAAAAATACAACGTGGCAGACTTATGTCCTAAGGTATGAATAATTGCATTCAATGTAAATGCTTTAAATACACAAACTAAAAAGCAGAATGGCAGAGTAGATTTAAAAAACATGGTTCTACTGACTATAAGAAACTCACTTTAAATATAATAATATAAACAGATTAAAACTAAAAAGATAAAACAAAATGTATCATGCAAACGTTAATCAAAGGAATGCAAGAGTGGCTATATTAATATCAGATAAAACTGATTTCAGGGCAAAGAAAATTACTAAAGACGAGGGAAACATAAAATGATGAGATGGGTCTATTTACCAAGAAGACATAGCAATCTTAAATGTATATGCCTCAAAGACATAGCTGCAAAATATGTGAAACAAAAACCTATAGAATTAAAAAGAGAAATAAACAAATCCACAATTAAACTTGGAGACTTTAACACCCTTCTCTCAA